CTTCCCTCTCTCTCTTCCTTTTTTCTCTCCTCTCCACCCTCCATTTCTTCCTTCTTTTGTCTTTTAAGTTTTATTTATGTATTTAATTAAAAACCTTTACTTATTTAATAAATAAAACACTCACTTGTTTAAAAGAATTTCAGAAAACAGGAGAGAATACATTGTGAAATTCTGCCTCCCCTTGCAGTTCCCAGTCACTCAGATTTCCTCTTTGAAGGCATCCAATTTTCTAGCTTTTAATATATTCTTACAAAAATAATTTCTCTCATATTGTCTCTTTCTCTCCATACACTCACACACACACAAATATATCTCACTTTTTACAAAAATCTATTGGATATTCACCATTCTGCATTTTTTCATATTCACTTACAATTCACTTAAAATACATCTTCAAGGTTGTCCCGTATTGGTTTATACATTTGTTTTTACAGCTGTACAGTAGTACATTATGACTACATCATAAATTATTCAAGTAGCCTGCTATTGATGGACAGTTTGGTTGTTTCCCATTTTTTAATTTTACATCAATGTTCCATTGCCATTTCACATGTGTGATTACCACTACAGGACACATATCTATAATTAGAATTGGCAATTCAAAGAGTGAATGCATTTGTAATTTATGAGTTCTGTCAAATTTCCCTTTATAGACGTATACCAGGTTATATTCCTGTGAGAAACGCACTAGAAATACGTTTTTCCTAACACAATTGCCCTCACAATGTTTTAGCAACTATTTGATCATTACCTATGATGTAAGTTTTAAAAAAAAGCATGTTACAGTGTTTAAAATTTGGATTTCTTTCATTATAAGAAAGATTGATCATCTTTCCAATTGTTTAAGGGCCCTTTAAATTTCTTTTTCTCTCATCTGAATGTATTTCTCCTGTTTTCCTATTTCATTTTTTATGGATATTTTAATGGATATTTCCTCACATGTGGGTACACATATCTCCTTTTCCATGTAAGGAATTGCAAATGTTTCCCATGTTCGTTGTGTTTTGATTTTTTAAGTTGCCTTTAATCATGTGTTTTTTCATTATTATGAACTCAAATTACAAATGTATTATTTCATGTCACATTAAATAGACCATCCTCAGCTTGAGATCATTCAATTGCTCTATATCGTTATTTTTCTAATATATTTGCTTTTAAGTTTCAATACATGTTCCAATATGAATTTATTTTGTAGATTTTTTAAATCTATTACTCTATTTTTTATTGTTTTCAGACAGATTCCAAGTTGTCCATTTTATTAAATAATATGGGATTTACCAAATCATCTGGTATGTTATATTTGTCACATGCTAATTCTATCATATATTTTAGCCTATCTCTAGACTTTCCATTCTGTTGCATTGATGTGTCTATCCATGTACTAACATCACCATTTTAACTATTTTAACTTTATAATAATTTTTAAATATCTATTATACATAGTTCCCCCTCATTACTGTTCTTTTTCAGAATTATTCTAGCTTTTTATTACATGTTAATACTGCCATTTGAACTGTAGAAGCAACTAATCTAATTCTCACAAAGTCCCTTTGACATTTGTTTTGGGTCAACTAAATTTATAAATTAACTGAGGTAGATTTTAAATATTTATGAAGTTGTGTCTTCCTATACAAGAAAATAGTGAAACTTTCAATGGTGCTTTGGGAGTTCCAGTAACATTAGCTACTTACTTATTTTTCATAGGTATCTAGTATATTTGTTACTATTTTATTCCTAGGTTTTAATTCTTATTCCATTTTATTGCATTTAATTCTATGGGCCATTACATATGAAATTTGTTATTAGTTCATAAATTCTAACTGGTTCTGATTTGTATTGTGAAACCTATTAATTTCTGTGTCTTACTGAATTCATTTATCATTACTAACAGTTTTTCAGAGGATCCTTCTAGTTTGTGTGAAGTATACAATGATTTAATCTTAAACATGCAATGATATACTTTACCAAAGGACAAATAAATTCTTTTATATCTTTTGTTCTTATTTATGTTTCTCTTATTTTTTTTCTTGTCTAATTATATTGGCTAATAATTCCACATGCCATGTAAAAGAAGTCAGTATCTTTTCTTTTTTTGGTAATAATATAAATATTTCTTGTGAACCTTCTTTTGCTTTCTTTAACTTTGGATTAACATCTATATTTTTTCATGGAAGGAAATTCGCATCTATATCTTCTTGGTCTTCTCCAACAACGGCTGTTTTATTTTATCAAATGGATTTTGATAAAATTACTTAAGTAGTTGATCATCTTAATTTGTCCTCTAACTTACTGATACAGGGAGTAATATCAATAGGTTTTCTAAGATGGAAAAATTCCACCATTGTTAAAATAACTCATCTGGGCCCTGTGTTTTCTTTGAAGAAGTGAGTTTCTTTAATTACTCCAAGCAATGTGTATAGATTTCAGCTTTTCTGGAGGTGGTTTTGGTAAATTACCTTTTTCAAGTAAATTACCCTGTTTAAAGGTTTCTCACGTTTTTCTAATGGATTGTCTCTTCATTATTGATTTGTGGGAGTTTTCATTTGTGCCAGTAACTAGTTTTTTGTTACATGTATTCCAAATCATACCTCTTACTATATGCCCTTTTTCCACTTTCTTTTTAGTTTTTTTTTTGATCAGCCAAAGTTCTTAAATTTAAGTGTAGTTCAATGTACTGCTTAGATTATGGTTAGTACTTTCTATAATATAAAGATATTTTACTATTATCCTTAAAAGCTTCATAAATTTGTCGTTAACATTTCAAACTTTAATCCTCCAAGAATTGATTTTGTATATGGTGAGAAGTAGAGGCTAAATTTTATTTTTATCCCAAATGGATATTTAATTTCCCAGCATCACTTATTGAAACCTTATTCTTTCCTATTGATCCAAAAAAGCACATCTATTGAACGTCAAACATCCACACATGTGTGAGTTAATTTCTTGGTTCTGTATTCTGATATAATGGCCTTTTTGTCTCCTTTTTGTCTATCTGTGGAAAGTAATTTCCTTCTTTTAATCACTGTAGATTTATGGCAATTCTTGATATCAGATAGAGTGGCTTTCTTACTTGTTTTTGTGTTTCGACATGATCCTGACCCTTTGCATTTCCATGTAAACTTATGACAGCTTGCCAATTTGCACACACACACAAAACACATGGTTACATGTATGCACAAATCCTGCTGATATTTTAGTTAGAATTGCATTGAATATACAGAAAAACTTGATGAGAATTAAAATATTTTCAATATAGTCATTTAAAATATAAAACAACGTATTTATTTCTAAAAATCTCTCTTCTGTGCAAAATCACTCAATAAAAACCAAACGGCCACAAGGAAAATGGGATTGGGGAAAAACATCATCAGTGATCCATAAAACTATAGGGGAAACACAGTAGCACAATTTTGCATGTGTTAAGTGGTTAAAAAATACATACATACTACAATAAATATGTTACTTTAATCTGAAAAACGTTTGATGTTTCCTTGTGGAAGTGGGCATCAGAACTGTTTCAGATTGTGAGTTATTGTGAACTGTTGGAAGGAGAGTTATCTGAAATGAAACGGAAGTTTATAACCCTAGATGTAGATGAGTGGGGTTCATCACCTACTTGGTAAATTGAGGTAGATGGCAGATGTTTGAGATATGTATATAATAATAATTACATACAGATACACATAATACATATAATATATTAGGAAAATCGTCTAGATTTTCTAGTTTTTCTCACTAGTCATATGAATCTGTCGTCTGCCACAGGCAGATATTATATTACTTGAAAGCTAAAACCTATGTGTGTATGTGCATGTGTTTGTATGTATAGGCATATAAATTTCAATACACATACTCCTTTTGTGTGATATACTTCATAATTAGATAAATTGCAAGTTTTTTGAAAAATTTATACTTGTCTGCCAGTTATTAATATGTGATCCTTGTCTCCCCAATTTTAATTATTTTGATAACAGCACAATCTTCCCAGTTTTCCAAGTTCTCAACATCAAAGAATTTTCTCTCCTCTGGATTCACCGTCTCCACCTCTGTCCAGTCTGTTAATCCAGTCCACTTTATCTTTGTTATCTGTCTGGGCCATGCCACACCTGCTGCTACTGGTGCTTACCTAACTTACTCTTATTTCTTCTATTGATTACTTTAGTTGCTTTCTAATCAGTGTCTCTTGAATAATTTTCTTCCCCAAATCTCTACTACGATCCATTGTAAGCCTTACTTTAGGAAAAATTGTCTGAGACACCACTTATGTCATTTAATCTCCATGCTAAAAATAATGTTTTCCTATTTTTTAAATAAAGCATGTTTTATAATCCTTAGTCTCATTGTCAAGGTCATAAATAATTTTACCTCATTATACCTTTGCAGATTTAACACATCACAAACTTCTTTACAAAATATAGAAGTGCTCATTTGTTTACCCTTTTTCTAGCTTTGACTATCCTGTTTCTGTCTAATTATAGCATCTTTCCCTATTTTTACACGTATAAATCCTACTCACCCTATAAAGTTTAGTTCATATACCATCTTCTTCATACAATTTTCTCAAACCACATATAGTGGGAAGAAATCTAACAACTATTGTTTAATCTCTATGTATCAGATATTATGCCATGCACTTTCATATAAATGATTATATTTCAAAACGACAATCCAAGTTAAATATGATCTGTCTTCTTTTTTTTTTTTTTGAGTCAAATGATTTCAGAGAAACTAATCTTCTTACTTAAATTTGCAAAAGCAATAAGTGGCTACGGTTGCTTTTGAAACAAAGATACTGTAATTACAGAGTCTTCTTTTCTCCATTTCTTTGCATGCTCTCTACCTTCTGAAATTATCTCTTCCACCTTTAGATTTTATCTGTATTATGTAATGAAGTTATTGTGTTTTATATACCTCATAACAATTTATATGTATTTCTTAAATTTGGTCCTTAAGAGAAAAATCTGATTTTTCTCAGTATCTCTCCATTATTTTCTCAACAGGTATGAGATGTCATCATGTATGATCTCCACCAACATCCTAGCCACTACAATTGTCATTCATCTGACTGAGTTTATCTTTGGCACGTTCAAAGTCATGCTATAATAGTGCTTAAGAGTGGTCCAGCTATGTTTAGGATAAAATATCCTTACTTTGAATATTTAAATTCAAAAAAATATAAAAAATTGTTCTTTTTCAATTGATATTTTAAACTTGAAGGTTTTCTGCTTGTGGAAGAAAGCTAGTGTCTATATTTGAGATTTTCTTCTTTTAAAATAAGGAAAAGAAATATGACGTCTTTGTATGTTTTTAAAAAACAGTACTCTCAGATGAAAAAAATCAGTAAGTTATACCTGAGGCTCTGACTGTAGCACTTGGAGTTTAAATCAGTGAGGCAGCCTGAAATGAAAATCTCAGGCAGCTCTGTGACTTGTCTTGGAGCATCAGCCTGACCTCAATGTAAATTATTCCTTAGATGGTAGGGACAAATGAGAAAACTTTTAGAGAAGTTAAGAAAATACAACTTTTACCTAGGAGAAGATTGCCCCTAGGCAAACATTTAAATCTTTTGAAAGCTATCCCTGTCTACTGTTTATGAAACATGGACACAGCTATGCCCTGACCATTTTGTCTCTGCTCTTAATAGAGATTACTCTGTCAGAGGGAGGACAGATTTGTATATGTGGGTTTTAAGCGGGATCAGGTCAAATTTGAGTTCATTGTAATAGCATTGTTACATGCATTGTCTGGCAGGGAGAAAATGAGAAAAAATCCTGGAGTGTTGCTCACTTATTTACTGCAGAACTCGGTCACTTACAGGATTGGAAAATATTTGAGCCTTACTGACAAACAGACTATAGTGCAGGATATAACTCTGGTTGGAAAATTACATGGTGTTCACAACTACACAATTAAAATAAATATCCAATTAGAGACAGGGCAATGAAAAATACTTTGCAAATACTTATAAGGACTTATGCAAAAATTCAAGAAAGTAGACTAACATTATTATGCACCACTAATATTCCAGACACTTAAATGTATTAAATTTTAGTTAATATTCCCACAATACTGAGACATGATTTGACCTTCCTTTACTAATGTTGTCATTGAGAGTCACAGAATTTTTAAGTTGCAAATAATAATATCATGTAGAAGACTGTTAAAATTCAAAGTGTTGGCTCTTTCTACAGTTCAAAAAGAATCTAATAATCTAAAAAAAGGTCGTGAAACTCTGAAAGGCATCAGATTTGGAATTAGGAGGCTAGGGTCCTAAACTTGGTTTTGGCATAACAGATGACTGGGCATTAACCTCATCTCACAGAAATTCCCTTTCATTACATGTATAATTAAGAAGTGGGTAGTTCATATGTTCAATGTTGTTATACATGCATTACATATTTTTATGAGAAAAATATGACTGTTTCTACTTTGTAATTGTGAGGAGTAAGGCTGAGAAAGTTCATTTGACTGGGAAAGCAGAACCAGTGAGCACTACAGTCAAGTTTCCAACTCGCATATGTTAAAGAACAAAAGCCGCATTATTTGCTTTACATTTTAGTTACTTACCAAGGGAATCAGGATTATTTCTGATTGCTTATGCAACATAAAGAATACATATTGTTTGCACGGTTTTGGTAGCAAAGTAGCTATATATTTGGCTGCGGTCTAGTGTTATTGGTGGGAAAATAAGCATCTGCTGGAGGAATTTCAGAAGCCCTAGGTAATGGCAATCACCTAGCACACATCCACTAAAATCACTGTAGATCAGCAAGAAGAACAAATATGATAACAAAAATCCCAACTTTTTCCTAGAGAAACGCAAAAAAAAAAAAAACCCCAAACCACATATGGAATAATATCTGAAGGAATGAACAGTGAATAAAAGAAAGGATATTCAAAGGGGGTTTGACTTAGAAGAGGGATGAGGCAAGAGATGTTTTCTGTTTTTCAGATTTTTGTTCTTAGGGCAAACCGTAGTCAGAAATGTAAGGGGCTCTAAATTCCAATGGGAAAACCACCGTTTAAGGCCCAAAGACCCCCAAAACAGAAGTTGGAATATCCACAGTGGCTAGAAAGTGAGAGGGAAGTCCCAGAAGGGAGAGGCACTCTAACTCTTATCCTAAGGTTTGGACAGATTCTACACATTTTAGGGTTGCCACAAATTATGTATGTGTGGGACAGACAAATCACAGCCTGGATAAGAATAAAAGAAATGAACTGAGATTTGAGCAGACATCCAAGTGAGAGTTTGTAATTTGAGTTTAAACAACTTGATTGCCCGCCAAAGAGGAACAAAAAATCAAACTCTGGTAGAATATAACAGAATGCAGAATCTCCATTATGTAACACTCGTAATGTGCAGAATACAATCCAAATCACTCAGCACTTGAAGAACAAAGAAAATGTGACCAGCAGGTGACTCAGATGTTGAAATTAGCAGCAAGTAGTTCAAAGCAGCTAAAATAACCATGTACAGTGTTATAAAGGAAAATGTGCTCTCAGTGTATGAAAAAAATAGGAAACTGCAACGGATAAATATAAAGTATCAAAAATAACAAAATGAAACTTTTAATGGATGAGACTAACAACGTAATAAAAATGGCAGAGGAAAGAATCAATGAGCTTAAAGACAGATCAATAGAAACCATTCAATGTGAATCAGAAATAGAGAAAAACAGAAAAAAGATTAAGAAAGAAAGAAATGTAGAGTCAGAACCTGGGCAGTAATATCCAATCAAACATCTAAGATGTGTGTAATTGGGACCCCAGAACAGGAGAAGAGACAGATGGGGTTTAAAAAAAGTAACTGAAGAAACAATGGTAGAGCATTACCTAAATTTCAGCGAAAGACATAAATTTATTGATTCAAGAAGCTCAGGAAACTGAAGTAGCATATATATTTCATTTTACCTGGTTGAGTTATTTGTCTTCATTTATCACATGTAAGGTTCTAACTGATTTTCCCAACTATCTCCCAGTTCTCAGCTTGCTACAACTTCCTTCCAATTGTGTTCCTAAGCGACAGATTTAACAATGTTACACTTTTACTCCCCAAGATTCCTCGGCCCTCCGTTGCCCATGGAATAAAATATTTAATGGCAAGTAATCCTTTTCTTCCATCTTCTCACATGATACCTTGTTTTCATCATTTTTTTGACCACGGTTTTATCTTTTGAACTTGTACTCATAGTACACTATATTGACTAAAACAACAACTATGCTTTTTGTTGAGCCATTTTTCTTTTACTTGTTAAAGTCAGACATCATTTGCAAAATTTCAGTAGCTCTAAAACATTCAGAATTTTTCTAGGGCTATTCAATACTGATAAAAAAATAATTTACATAATACTTAAGACTCTTCTGTAGTGAGCGAAGCTAATCCCTTAGAGGGAATTTCAGTTTTAAAAGACATTGCTGTAGAAAATATCAATTGTGAATGAAGGAGTAAATCACAAAATGAGAAGAGCTAAAACACAATAAAATAGAAAATGAAAGCATTTTGTAAAGGAGACTTCAAAGTTAGTTTCTCTTCACAAATCCTAAAAGCACTTTAAGAAAAAAAGATTATGTAAATATAATGATTTGAGAAATTATATATTTATAATTATTTAATATAAATATTCTCCTGAAAGATATATGAAGAGTATTAGAGTTTACTTCCTTTAAAAATTATTTCCCTCCTCAGTGGCTTTGTTAGACTTCTGATTCATGTGCCTAGGGACTTCTACCTGATCAAGAGAAAATAGATTTCTGTTTGTGTATTCAAGTAATGTGGTTGTTATTTAGCACAGCCCTGACTATGGCCAATTAGTAAACATGAAAGAGATATTTTGAACAGGCTACATTTCTATCCAGCGGATCCTTTTGGGAAACTCCAATTTTCCCAGGAATGTGAATGTTTGTTATATGAGAGGGCAGCAAATATGCTTGTTCTTTCTGTCAAAGATAAAAGTCACTGCAGGAAAAATCCAAAAGACAGAACATGAGAAAAAGGACTAACAGTAGCCAAAATGGTACGGGGATCATCAGGTCTTGCTTACAAAAGAGGACATGCATGGCCCAGGAATGTCTGAAGTGAATGGAAGTCTTACATCATTGGTGCACAAAAGCATAGGCTGTGAGATCTAAAGAAAGACTTGAGTATTTGAGAGATAAGATATTAGGTACTTCATTCCATTCCCTTCCAAATAAAATGACTCTCCCTTCTTTTTAATTATCTCACATCAAGATGCAGCTGAATAGTATAGTGGATGAGCATGAGATTTTTAGTCAGGAAACATGGACATGAACCCACTATACAGTAATCTTGTGAATTTTGGTAAATTGCTTCTGAGCACCAGTTTCTTGATCTATCAAATGAAGAAAATAGTAATCCCTTCCAGCTTGTGAGGCTAAGTTGTAATAATATATGTAATTTTGCCACTGTCTGTGTGTATATACATTTTCTTTTTTGTAAATTTAAACCAAGTACCATGTCCACCCTTATTCCCCTTTTTGCCAGCTCCAGGATGCCTGCCTCTTACTAGACTTTTGAAATGCTAAGAGACAAAGGATTTCCTTTTTGCCTTGGGATATAAACATCTAAATATCAATAAATAATTTTGGTCAAAAATGCTAAAGGAAAGATTGAATGACCTTTTCATTTACCCCAGAGAAATTATGAAAACTTTGTCATATGGACAAGTGATCAAACAATAAGTAGAAAAAATGTAGGAAAAACATATTAGAGAGATGTGTCAAGCAGTAATTACTGAAAATATCATGTTACTGTTTGGACTTTGTGATTGTTGTGATATTTGTCAGTCTTTTAATTTTTAAAATTGTTTTGATTTATTTTTCTCATTGAGAAATATTTATATTTTATACTTACTATTGTATTCATAGTTTGTATTAGATTCAGGCTTCAGAAATTCTGCATCAATCTCCTTATGGGAGCACAAGAGTTTCCTTAGGGAGGGAGATGGAACTCCTCTTTGGCCTAGGGAATGTTCATTATCTTCTCTGATCTTTTGTATCCTCATTGGTAAAATTGCAAAATAGTTCCTTATCTCTTTACAGTTTTCATGCCTGAATACCTGACAAAATGAAGGGAAATTTTAAATCATTGAGTACATGTTAATTATAA